TTTTTATATAAATATAAGATGTAAACCTCAGTAAGATATCTTAACTATTAAAAACTTAAGATTTTAAATTAAATATCTCAAGTTCAAGTCTTGAGTTAGGTGATAAAAGATTTAGTAATAGCGAGGGTTATATTTTCTTATATAACTTATAATTAGATATACTAAAAAAATATAAAATATAAAATTTATGTGTGAATAGAATTTTTCTCTTTATATAATATTAAATGAGTAAAAAAATTTTATTTTATAATTTCAACTGCACTAAATTATTAAATAAAAATTATTAAATGAGATTTACCACTTATTTAATGGTTCAAAGTGTATTTTATATTTTTTTAATGAGTGAATAGTATAATATAATGAATTTATCTCCTAATTATTTTTCATTTCCACCTCACCCCTTTTTTTTTTTCTTTTTTGAATTTTCTTTATTTCCACTTTGTCTTTTTTAATCCTGTTACTGTATTTTAGAGGCGTTTCGTAAGAGCTGACGACAAAAACATACTGTCGTTAATTCATTTTTCTATTAAGGATGGCGCCACGGCGGGAACGAGAAGAGCCATATCTTCTTTTTTTCTCATATATAACGTAATCATCTTCTTTTCATTCTTTAGGGACGACATTAATTCTCTATCAACGGTCAGAGTAAGCATGATTTTAAAACTGAATTTAATGTGTTCAGGTACCGTTACCTTTCCCAAAAAAATGTAGATTGCATTAGGATAACAATCTTTTTATACCAATTTCTTCATTTGGGGTGTGGTTATCCTTATTAATTTATTAATTTATTAAAATTATCAAAATTATATTCAATTTGATTTATATTTATAATTTTTTAAAATAAATAATCACTTAATACTTAAAAAGATCATTTTATACCTATTTTTTTATATGGGGGTGTTGTCATTGTTATTAATTTGTTTATTTGTCAAAGTTATCAAAATTATATTCAATTTAATTAATATTTGTAATTTTTTTGAATAAATAGGTATGATAGCTAAAAAGATCATTTTTATAAATTAATTTTATTTATTAAATAATAAATATTAATTATTTTATTAATTATTAATCTTGATTGACAATCAAATCAAACAACATTTAAATTTTTTAACAATATTTTAATAACTTTAAAAAATAAATTGATAATCATAATCACATTCCTTTATTCATCTCACCTATATCAAATCCAATATGTGTTGCTCTAATTACCTTTAAAAAAAAGTATAAAACTAGTAAATTTACTAAATTTTCCCTTAGAGAAAGGTATATGAAATTGCCTTTTATTAATGTATTAATAAAAATATGTTCCCCTCTATTACTAAAATTTAAATTCTAATCTCTATCTTAACTCTTTTTTTCCATTAGCATATTAACAAATTAAATAATTTAGTGATAATTTTTTATATAAATAAAAATTTTTAAATTTCAATCACATTATATACAATAAATAAATTTAATTCTTCTTAATTCAACCCAAAATTAAAAAAATATATTAAAAAAGAAAAAAAATACTAATTTCATCAACATAACGAAAAAATGAAAATAGTGGCGGTTATATTTTATAACAAGTGTCAGTCAGTCACACGCGCGCATGTAGTGTTTGTGTTACACGAATTCTTTTCTTCTCTATGGTCCGCAAAGGAGCAAGAGTTTCATAATTTCCCCGATCGGAGGAAGACGTTAATGGCAAATCTGCCTCAATCGCTGTCGATGAACGTTCCGTTTGGTGGGCCAGGAGCGTCGAATCCTACTGCTGCTGGAGGTCCGGCGAACAAGGATAGGAAGATGGCTTCGGCGGAGCACTTGGTGCTTGATCTGAGTAACCCCGATCTCAGAGAAAATGCTCTTCTTGAGCTGTCCAAGGTGATTGTGCTGAAGTTTTTCCCTTTTTGAATTTGGGTTTCGTGAAAGTTAGGGTTTTGGATAAAAGTCATGTAGAAAAACAATAGTAGATGTTGATTCAATGTTTCTGATATTCGTGTTTTCGGTTTCGTCCGAACGAGAAGAAATACTCAAACTCAATCGAACTTTAATAGTAGAAACTAGTTCATGTTTCTTGCTTTCTGGATTCTCTAATTGTGACAAGGGATATATCCTAGCAATTGTTAGTTTTTTTTTTTTTTTTTTTGGGGGGGGGGGGTGGTTTCATTGCTCAATCTCTGTTCCCCGAATCGATTGTTTGCTGGATATGCAAACATTTAATTGGCATGCATGCTGCTGCATCTTAGAATCTCAAATTTGAATTTGCTTTTCGAGTACTTGTGGGAATTTGACTGGAATTTTCATTTACTTATGAGAGGAAGTGATCAAGGAAACTAAATGGTTATGGTCCCTTTCTTTTTGTTTCTCTTTTTAGAAGAGAGAATTGTTTCAAGATTTGGCTCCGTTGTTGTGGAATTCTTTTGGCACTATTGCTGCACTTCTGCAGGTATGCATTTCTTGATTGGCATTCTGTTCTTTTTATTTCCTTATATTCTGCTTTTCTGTCTTAAATGATCTCATGTTGTTTAATTTAATTATTGTTTGATTTTGTGTTTAATCCTTAAATGACTTGTTGAAGGTGCTACTGTTTCTTGTACAATCTACACATTTACAATGACACATTTTCTACCAAATTGATATGTTCTATGTTCTAAGCTGACAAATGTATTTGTAAACTTGAATATTAAGGAAATAACGATAGAGAAAATTGAAATTTAGTATTATTGCTTCAGAATGTTGTGCCCAACATGACACTGAGAAGATGCTCCATCTATGTTATTGGGTAGAATTTGCATTATGATTGATTTAACATGTATTTGGATTTTGTTTATGTTGTGAGTCAGCATGTTACTGCAGCTATCTCTTGATGTATGCTTCTTTTATTACTGTTTGAGTTTTATATTAATTGAAAAACATGCCAGAATTTCTGGTTTCAACAAAGTTTGGTCTTTTATTACTCGCAGGAGATAGTTTCTATATACCCGGTTCTGTCACCACCAAACCTAACTCCAGCCCAGTCAAATCGAGTCTGCAATGCACTGGCTCTCCTTCAGGTCAAATGATTTTTTCTTTTACAAGTTTTCATGTTGAATCAAGCTCTTACTTCACTGTGGGTTTATTAGATTTAAACTGCATCCATTTTAGGCCTGGTCTATATATATACTAGTATCCTGTTAAAGTTGTTGGTGTAAAGTTTTGCTTTTCATTTTTGGTGAATCTTCTGATATCACCTTCTTAACTACTGGTAGTTGACTATTTTTTTATTTGTAAATCTTTTATTCTAATTTGAAGGCATTTCTAACACGTAATAAACTGTCTGTTTTTACAGTGTGTGGCTTCTCATCCAGACACAAGGATGTTATTCCTAAATGGTACCATTCTCATACATTTAGTGTACATATTTTTCTCTAATTGCTTAAACATGAGGCTGTAATATGTTGCATCCCATGTGCAGAACTTGTTAATAGAGTATTCAATTGCAATATCATATAGGCAATGTTTTCCTTATTTGTCACTAAAATGTTTTTATGCAAATACTAAATTATGTACTTACTATTTATCACAATTGATTGTTGTTTCTTATATTTACTTCATAATATTGATTTCCGAAAATTTTGTCTTTCTGTCAGCTCTATAACGTTGTATATATGGGCTCTCAACTGACCAGTCTTCTTTTGCAGCTCATATACCCTTGTATCTGTATCCTTTCCTCAATACAACAAGCAAATCAAGGCCTTTTGAGTATTTGAGGCTTACTAGCTTAGGTGTCATTGGTGCCTTAGTGAAGGTAATTCATATTTGCTTATCTTCTGATGCTGAATTCATACTTCCTATATGTTTTGTTTAACATTATGGCATACTTGTGTGCAGACGAGCATTCTGATACTAGGTCTAGGCATAAACTTTGGTTTTTGGTCTGCTTGGCCCTAATGTTGTATATCTCTTACCTGTATACATGTCTCTTGAAAAATATGATTAGCAATTTCTTTGCTATGTTCCTGAATCCTTCTCAAGATCCTAAAGATTTTACTTTTGTATACCAGGTTGATGATACAGAAGTTATTAGCTTTCTTCTGTCAACAGAAATTATTCCACTCTGCCTGCGGACTATGGAGATGGGCAGTGAATTGTCAAAGACAGTTGAGTTTGCTGATCTTTAGCTGTTTCTTTCTAACTGCCCCACTGTTTTAATTTTGTCTATCTATTTTGATTGAAAACCAATGGCTGGTGCATTTGGTGTTATGATAATGAATATAAGTTTGTTTACATAGGATTCTGCCACTTAGATTGGGAAAAAAGAAAAAAGATCTTTTTATTGCTTGTCCATATAATCTATGAAATCTTAACTTCTTCAACTTTTTCATTGTTTCCCTGATTTTACTTTGTTGCTTCTTCCTGTCATTATAATTTTAGCTTGAACTGTAACATATTGTGCTTTCTGTAGTGCTCCATATGAGGTAGTGAGTTCTGAGTGCATGGGATGATTCCTTCATGTTTGAGAAACATTTTTGGTTGACAGGTTGCGACCTTTATAGTTCAGAAGATTCTGTTGGATGATGTGGGCTTGGACTATATTTGTACAACTGCAGAGCGGTTTTTTGCAGTTGGTCGTGTTTTGGGGAATATGGTTGCAGCACTTGCAGAGCAGCCCTCATCAAGGCTACTGAAACATATTATTCGATGTTATCTTCGCTTGTCAGATAATCCTAGGTTGGTTAAATACATTGCCGGATTACTTCTGAACTGCTGGCTCTAACCTTCACACTGATATACGTCCAAAAATAAAAAATAAAAACACTAACCCTTCTTGTTTGTCTTTTATTTTTTTAGTTTAATACTTACAACGGACATCTTCTGTTGTACTTATAATGCAGGGCTTGTGATGCATTAAGAAGTTGTCTTCCAGACATGTTACGAGATGCCACCTTTAGTAGTTGCCTTCGTGTAAGTACTGTGTATAACAATTATATCGTTTAATGTCATTTTTTGGACAATAATGTTCATATCACTTGACTTGAAAGAATTACACTGTTAGCGCTAGAAAGCTTGTTAATGGTTTCTTAGGGTTCTGCCATGTTGTTTCATAGTCTTTGTTGATGCTTCCAGGAAGATCCAACAACAAGAAGGTGGTTGCAACAGTTGCTTCACATGGTAGGCGCGAGTCGTGTTCCAACCATTCAAGCTGGAGGAGGATTTGATCACATGCTAGTGAACTAAACTCGAGTTTCTGCTATTCACTGCCCGCTGTCACTGATCCAACATAGGAGTAGCAGGCAAGGAGTTAGCCATTTTTCTAACCCATGCCTCTGTGTTTGTGAATTTAGTATTTTTTTAATTAGTGATTTATTATATGCTAACTCCTACGAAGACAAGGTTTGGACACCAAAGCTGGTCTGATAGTTTTTCTACGCTAGATTGTGTAATTTACGTAAACTATGTTTTATTGTAGCTATAATGAAAAGAATGATCAAGCTCATACAGTTTGACCATGTTTGTGATACCTGCCGTTATGTCAACACCTTCATGTATAGTAGAAACCATTGCCAGAATAAAAAGTAGTTTTGTTTCCAGTTGTCTCTTTGCTGCAATTTCATTTTGAAAATAAGTGATCAAAGCTGAATGGTAAAATGCAAACTGTAGCATTGTGCCGGGGGCCCAAACAAAAGAAAGAAAAAAAAAAAAAAGAAAAAACGAAGAAGAAGAAGAAGAAGATGCAGAGGGCCAGGCAGAGCATTTTTATTTTTTAAACCTAAACTTTTTATTTTCTATGGTGCTGGAGATTTAGAGGGGAAAAAAAAAAACAGCAAGGGCATTACATCATGAGCTAAGGGTGCGTTATCCAAGACCAATGAAAGGCAGCCAATGCCATCATTTACTTCACTATCTCATTTTTCATGGCCAGGGAGAGAGCACTGAGGCTTCCTCCACTTTCCACTATGGGTACAGGCGTGACGACAGCTCTGCTCCCTACAAACCCACCTTCTCCAATTCTGATTTTCCTGAACTTGACTTTCCTTCCTTCCCCTTCATATATATGTCCGAAAAGCAGAGCTTCTCTTCCTACACAACCTTCTCTCACCATCTCAGGATTCAGTAGAGCTCCCATGCTGTCCACATAAACCCCTTGATCCAGTTCTACATGTGAACCCATCAGCTTCATCCACAGCACAAATAAAACAGACCCACTGGTCATTTCCATAAAACAGTCCCCAACCAGAGTTGTAAAAGCTTGCCATATGGTATTCGCAAACACCCCTTTGCTCCATATTTGCACAGTTTTATCTTCTTTCTTCTTCCCCACTAGGACCCAGTTTGCAACCACACAAATCAGAGAAGCAAGAATTCCAGAAGCAACCAATGAACGGGGAGAGTCTCGGAGTCCTTTAAGTGGAGAACCCAGTTCAGAGGAGCATAGAGAACTAGCCCCAGGAGGAAGTAAGGCAAAACAGTCTGAAGCAATGGTTGAGCGAAAATTGCCCATGAAGTTTGACACCATGTTCTTGCCGGGGTCAGTTTCTCTGTCTCCTTTGTCTCCAATGCTGCTGCCATTGGACACCCTGAAAGGTTTACCTTTTCATCAGACTGTTCCAGGAAGATCCTCCATGCCTCTGGAAGTGGCTCCTTGTTTCTTAAATGTTGGCAAATCTCATAGATCAAAGAACGACCATGATCAATGGAAGCTCTGAGAGGATGATGAAGCCCTGATGACATCAATTTCATGACATCTAAGGAAAGGGTTAAACTCTAATTCTTCTGCTTCTTCCCTGGTCAGAGTTTGATCAGTGTTAATCTCACCTATGTTGATATATGGAAGCTCGGCCTCACCCCAGGGCTTGGTGCAGTCAAGTGCAATGTTACGGATGGTTTCATCTTCTGGAATTGGTCGAACTTGCAGTTGAAAGATGTAGCGAACATCACCAGAACAATTTACACGGCGGTTGAAATCTTCGGCAAGGAAAAGTAAGGGGAGACTGTCTTTCTCATCCGTCGGAATGGCACCTGTTTCTTGCGGGAGAATTGCTGTAGGTTCCACCTTACTGGTATCCTCATTGATGCTCTCATCATAAGGCCGCAACTTGAACTTCACATACATCTCTTGTCCATATGTGAACCGGATGAGCCTGCAAATGTTGGAGTAGTAATGGAGTTCAGCGTAGAAGTCAGCATTGCGAGAGGGACGTCCAAACTGCATCACGTATGTGTGGAACTCTCTTCACATGCTGCTTACTTGCAGCTAGCCCACATAATAGCCATGTTGCAAAATCAGCTAATGTGCGAAGCAAATGGGTCAAAGTGGATGTAAGAAAACTGAGTATCAACCCATGAGCTAGATAAGTGAGAGCAGTTGAGATCACAAAACTAGCTGGATTTGAAGCGATATGAGAAAACATGGTGACATACGCAATGGCAGTGAATGGGATCCAACGGAAGGCTCCTAATATGCAAAGGAATGTGAATTGTTGAAGGGAAACAGGACTTTGGGATATCCAAATGTAGAAGAAAGAGAGAATAGCTGAGGAGAGAGTGCTGAGGAAACCAACCATGTAAATGCCCATAATCTGGGAAATGATTTTATTCTGAGTTCTGTAGCTAACATTAGACTTTACTGTACCCTGTAAACATGATTTAAAAAAATAATAATAATAAACGATCGGTTTCTAACTTGAAACAAAAAGGGATTCATACTTGTAAAGCAATCCTAAATGGTCAATCCATAAGTTGTTGATTCATGTAACTCTATAGCATTCCAGTAGTTAAAAACATATTTCCTTATGGGATCATATAAATAGGACAGTTGAAAAATACTTACAGCTTTTGTGGATCTGGATACGAACTTTCCTTCTTCAGTCTTTTGCAAGGAAAGAACTTCAGATTCCTCTTGCAGAACAGTCCCTTTTTGGATTATAGCATATGGGCCAACTGAAGAATTCCGGGCAATTCTATTAGGGAGGAAGCTTAAGATTCCATTCCTCACCTCATGGCTTTGAATTAATGTCCCTTCTGCAATCAGAGTACTATCTCCAATTGAAACTAGAGAAGGGTCTGCGATGTCGACAGAATCCAGCAAGACTGATGATCCAATTCTTGCTCCAAGCATCTCAAACCAGTAATTTAAGAACACTGTCCCTCTCAAATGCTCTGCAAGAACCGTGGAAGCGATCTTCTGGACCTTGTAAAGCGCCCACCACTTAAAATCTACTGACCAAATAGAAATTTCATGGCTCAGAGCATAGTTTGGTCACAAAAACGGCTTTCCAACAAGAGCAATGCAAAGGCAAGACAAGAATATGCAGAGGATCCAAGCAAAAGGAGCAAAGGCCAAAGGTACTATATAATGCAGCCATTGCCCTCCTTCTGTCAGGGTATGGCTGGCTGAGATGAAACTCATGAATGAAGAAACTGATGCATAAGCAGGTATGCTAAGCATGAAAGAGACAGATATGAGGGCCAAGAATTGTAGAATCCAGATACCCACTTGGTGAGATGTGGTAACTTCTGCCATCAGATCATCGGAGTAAATACCAGTTTCAGGATGAAGGCCTGAATTTGCCAAAAGTTGAGGTTGAGACTTTACTATAAGACTTCCTGAGAAGCTTGCCAAGTCTGCAATGCAGGTTGCAGTGAAGATATCTACAGCTCCAATGGGCACGCCCAGAAAATCTGAAAGTTTCTGAGCTGCTCTGACGACACCAATTGAATCAATTCCATAGGAGACGAGGATCTCAGTTTCTGAAACATTCTTTATAGGAATCCCTGTCAGCTCAGATACCAACCCTTTCAGAAATGAGGTGAGCAAAGGAATACTCGCTGTTTGAGGCCGAGGAGTGAATCCATCTTTACATGTTCCAGTAGTGAATGACTGGAGCAATTTTTTCTTGGAAAAAATTGGGTCTGGAACTGTGTTTAGAGTTCCTCCAGCAAGCTGATTGAGACAGTCAAATCTTTTGATCTTCCCTGGCTTTGTTTTACTGATGGTCTTAGGCTTGATCAGCTTGACAGAAGCAACACTAACACCATGTTCTTCTGTGACCCGAGTTTTTATTTCTTCAACGACATCATTATCAACAGGTTTACCATCTCTAATTTCTGCAATCACAACCAAACCAACCTGATCAGAACCATCTCGAATTGAAATTCCTTTTGCTGACAGGACTTCCTCAGGAAAACCGATGACTGCACAACATCCTGGGTGTAGAAGTTCAGAGGTGCTCTCCATGGTCTTTTCAACATCTGCTGAGTAAATGTTCCTTCCAGCAACAATTATAAGATCTTTGAATCTTCCAGTGATGAAGAATTTTCCATCAATAATTAGCCCCAGATCTCCAGTTCTAGTGTATTTTCTCACCGTGTGATTTTGAAGCTCATATCTAAATGTTTGCTGGCTAAGCTCTTCCCTGCCCCAATAACCAACCCCAGCCTTGGACTAGTAATCCATATCTCTCCTTCTTTCCCAGCTTCTTTGAGCTCTTCACCAGTCTCTGGATCAACTATTTTGTTGTCAACATCTCCATTACCTGAATCAATGTATCCACAGCAAACCCTTCCCTGCCAATCAACAAAGATAGGCTTCCCTTCTCCAAATGCACAACTGACAAAGACACAATTTTCAGCCAAGCCATAACCAGGTGCCATCACCTCTTGTGTAAGGCCAAAAGGAAAAGTCAGCTCGATAAATCTTTTCATAGTTTTCAGCCTCACTGGCTCAGCTGCTACCATTAGAAAAATCATAGAAGAAAGGTCATATTTCCGAACCTTATTCTTTTCAGACTCAAGTCTTCGAACTATAAGCTCAAAAGCAAAATTGGGTCCAGCACTGTGAGTTGCCTTGTATTTGCTCATAGTCTGAAGCCACATAAGGGGATTTCTGATGAATGTCATTGGGGAAAACAATATGGCTGATCCACCACGAACCATAGCAATGAAAATTCCCCCAATCAATCCCATGCCATGGTATTGAGGGAGCCAGCTAACTACTGCTGTCTTGGAGGTGCTCTTGTATCTCCTCCGCATCAACTTCACATTGTGGATAAGCCCACCATAAGTAAACATAACGCCCTTGGCATCACCAGTTGACCCAGATGTGAATTGTAAAAAACACAGATTATCTGGCTGTGGTTCCGATTGATTAACTATATCGTCAAGAAGTTCATTCTTGAAGTTCTTGATCCAAGAATCAGTGTGCAACCACTGAAGATTAGGCCATCTACCTGAAGATTTCCCATTCTTTCCTGCCAATGATATTATATTCTTCACCAAACCAGCCCAAACTGCCGAGTGATAAATATTTGTGGATAAAATTGCCTTGGCATTAGATGATTTGGCAATATTTTCAATCTTCAAAAGTGTTTGCCTGCCTCTCTGTAGAGGATCAGGAGGAAGAACTGGAACTTGTAAAACCCTGGCCCTTGAGCAGCCAAAAAATGCATCAATGAAGTCTAGACCTGGCACAAAAACTAAGAGAACCCTGTCACCAGGTTTGATGACTGGTTTGGTGTTTGTCAAGATCTTATGAGCAATGCAAGAAGCATTGGCGTTAAGTTCTGCATAGGTCCTCTGACCGATCACTACTTCTTCATTAATCCAAATATATAGAATTTTGTTTTGAGTGACAGTATGAGTTCCCCAGTGCTTCAAATAGCCATCAAGAGTAGACAGATCAGGGAATTCCACTCCTGGAAGTTCACCTAATTCTTTGGAACTCCTATCCCCGCATTCTGATTGCAATGGTAACATTCTGTGCAACATCACATGACAAAGTCAAAATTTTGATTGATTTTAAGCTACAAAGTGCAAAGCAAAGATTTTCCTAACCATCAACTGATCATTTCACATATATAAAAGCATGGTTACATTAATGTGTGGAAATATAGGCGTAGAATTGTCATTTGCAAAGTGCTTGCAGATTGAGGCTATTGCATAAGATGAATTTCTCTGTGTTAAGTTCAAATGCCAAGAGCCCACCAACATAGTAAGTGTTCTTCATACCTTGGAGTTCAGTCTCAAATCGATCATAAAATCCATCCTTCATATCTGTATTCAGATTAAAACTTTAGTATCTATCTCTGGGATGGTTCAATGGTTTAAAGGCAGCTACTAGGTCATACCTTGGTTGCTAACATAAGGGAAATATTTGAAGCGTCGTTGTAAAACCACATTCTCAACTTCGCCTCCCATTGATTGAACTGCCTTGATTGCAAGATTGCTGACAGTTGATCCCTCAATATCTGCAGAATTGCCATATGACCAGAATAAGAAAATGTCAGTGTCAGCGTAGAATCTCTGCATTGCAACCGGATTTCCAATCGTTGCAGGATCATCCATATATTCACCAATATAATAAAAACCGACAGGCATGTCTTTTAGCCCTTTAATCTTCAGGACGGTTGTGTAGTAGTCAATTGTCTTTACTTTGCTGAAGACCTCCTTTTCTAGATCATTCATATCCATTACTTCTGTTTCATGTTCTGCAACAAAAACACTTGGTTGGACATATCCCATGAACAGGCTAGAAGGCTAGAAAGGTTTACAAGGAAAAAAGGACGAAGCTAGAAGGCTGGAATTATTTTGTGTAAGTTATTCAAAAAATTATATTATAAATACAATTCCTATTGACCTATAAAAAAAAATACAAAGTTGGAGGCACTTTGGAGAAAACTATATTTAAGTCTAACTTTAACTTTTATGATAAAAAAATATTTTTAAAGGTTAAGTTAAATAGCCTAAGATTAATTGATACACTAATTATGTAGATTATCCTTTCCTAACATGCTGCACATTATATTTACCAAAAAAAAGAAAAGGAAAAAAAAAGAAAAGAAAAACAAGTTGTACATTTTTGGTAAATGGAATGATTAGTTATTTGATATTATAAAAATTTAAAATTTTAATTTTAATTTTAAATTAAAAAATTTTAAA